GACGGGCCACATCAATGACTAGAGACATTATCAGACATGGCCCAGTCGCGCCCTCAATGGCGTTCGTGCATCAAAGCTATTGCCTTCAATGCATAGCTCCTTTTCCAACCCCCTCCCCACTTGACCGCTCACTGACAGTGTTGGACTTACGCACCAATTTACCAGCTCGCGCGTGCAATGCGCAGCTACCTACCCCCTCCCCCAAATCATCGGTGAACGAAACTGCGGCAGCTACAACCAGTGTACGATGAGTACGCGGTTCTTACAGCTGACAATGATGATGATGCCACAGTACAAACTCTGTCCTTAAAAAACAAACTAACGCCGAGCCGGCCCCATAGGTTTTGGGGATTGGCGAAAGCTGCCCTGACCTTACCGGCTCTGACCATCATCAGGGTCAAAAGCAGTTTTTAGATCGAGAAAAATGACCAAGGTGGGATGCTTTTCAAGAACTTATCTCGAGTTAAAGATATAGTCGATGCATCCTTGGCCAGGGCGAAACCCAGTTTGATTCTCAGGAATCTTTCAGCTGATAATCGATCCAGCTGCGCAAAATGATGCCCCAGAGAATGCAACGGATACCAAACTGATGCACGATAATTTTCGCATGATATTGGTAGGTCCTTTTGGAAGATTAGTGTCACGGTCGAAACGCTCCATCTCAAGAGGTTTCTGTTTCCGTTCCAAATTTTCTTCCCTCCGGACCCAAAGCTGTCACTTTGTCGCGGCGGTCGAACCTCTGTGCTGCAATGACCCTATGGGCTATACTAACTGGAACTCAGTTCCTAAAAATTCCACAATGTAAGGTTAACGTGGAACTACCCGATGAAGAACTGTGAGTCCGCGTGCTGCTGAGATCGTAGTACGATGCCGCCCGAAGGTAAATTTGTATTGTCCTGTGCGACAGGCAGTAGTGTGCTTTCACCAGGCGATGAACGTGCCTACATTTATGGAGACAGCGATGCTGCCTTTCCTCGAGGATGGACGAGTTAGAAAAAGTCGACCCTAAAAACCGTATACTCCGATCGTCCGACGGTTAACCATCGGTGCATCATTCAATACGTCGAAGTGCTTTTAAAACCACTAGGCTCGGTGCTGTTTAAAGGGCACTTGCATCAGGAATGAGACAGCAATGCCTGACTCCCGTTTGATAATCAATACTTCATTTACTTATGTCCACACAGTAAGCTTCATATTCACATCCTTTGACATGATGTATCATCACCAATGGGGCTTTCAATCGATAACCGCGACTATGTGCACTGCAATGGTTGTTTCTGTGATATAACAGTGTGTCAGCATGACCTATTACCGTTATTCGAGGCGTTAAGTTATTTCAAATCGTTCGTTTGTGTCATTGTATTTTCTGTCCGCTACCATCACAGAATGGCTTAGAAACCTTGTTGTTGATCCTACTGGTTCATTCATTCATCTTTAATGCCACCCTTTCAATAGATCAATTTGAAGTAAAACCCGTTTTTTTTACTCGGGCTGCAAGCGCCCTATCTTTTGAATCAAAAGTGAGCGCACTATGCCTGCAAGACTTATACACCGTACTGCTAATTGTGGTTGTATTTGTAATTGAGGCGAAAGTTTTTACTACGTTCACTAATTACATCATCCTACGAAGTAATGGGCTAGTTGTTGGGCTCGAGTTACCCCAGCGCTTGGGGCTCGATCTGCTGACTGGAATTTTTCTTAGCTCTAACCCTCTCCCACCATTTCTAAACGTCTTCTGTCTGCTCTCACACAATGTTGCAGTGCTTCGTTCCGCGTGTTTCCTTATGGTTGCGTGAGATGAATGCACAAGAAGACAACAGGACAAAACGTGTTTGTTTCGAGAGAGTGGTTATGTTACGTTCACTCGCACCTTTGCTGCTCATTTCACATCTAGTAGCTCTTGCGCATAATAGATTTTATGAATATCTATACCTTTTTCATGATGATTTTCTTTTTTTTAGACCGCATAGGACACCAGGAGGTGGTCCTATATCTACCCAAGGAGGCGGGTCATCATTCTACAGTTTTAGCTACACTAGTGCTGAGCTTGAAAAGCTCAGCAAACCTCTGATGGATCCACCTTCCTGGCAGAAGTCAACCGATCAGGCAGTTGCTGACCAGAATTGGCGGCGGCTTCCACATACTGTCAATCCCTCTTCAGATGCACCCAAGTGGAAACAAATCCGGTCTCCCATTCCTACCGCAGGTGACACCTCGTTATCGGTGAGTCAAAGATAGGCCTCGACACATGAATTTATCCTTTTTATTTTACCCATTTGCTGCTTAATCCGTTTGTGATAACAGTGGGCTTTTTCCAGTATGCTCAGCGTTATTTCTTCCCTTGGTCCCCCAAACCACATTTGTATTTGTCTGCACTGGAAGGTGTCGGCTGTGCATTATGATGGTAGCGCTGGCAGCCAAATGATATGTCCAGTCTGGTGCTACAGCTCTGAAGACTACAAACAGTCCTACTAACACTCTTGTGTTGTAAATGCGCACGACACACGAACGGTACTAATGGAACGTGTCATCTTTGTGTTCCTCACATTGTTATCCGGCATGGTGTTTAGACGGCTTGGACGATCTTGTGGTTCTGTGGCGTTCTGCCACCGGTTGCGTTGCATCAGGTGTGGTCCCTCCAATTCAAAAGTTTCAATAAGAATGTCCAGCAGAATGTCGCTGTGGGATGCTGGTGGCTCTAAGAGATGGCGTGGACGCAGTTGATTCTCGTGTCGCGTCCACATGTCTTGGCCAACAGAGACGTCGTACTTACGCTCCGGCGTTTTCGTAGGACGTATCCTTCGATCCATCGTTCTTGTCTTGGTCGATAGTTCTGCGCAAAAGCAGCTGAACCCACGTCAAATCAGGCTGGCTTTGTGTTCGTGGTGGGCCGGGAACGAGCTGTCGGTGTTAGGGCATAGCCGAATTGATAGAGCGCAATTTTCGGCCCATGAGAGCTTCAGCAGGTGATTTCCGATCTTCCAAAGAGTCATTGGGAGTGGTCCGATAGACCAGAAGAGATCCCCGGAGGAATTCGACGAATGTTCCCTCTCCCCGAGATTTGAGCGGTTGAAAGTATCGACAAAACGTTCTCCTTGATCACTTGACTGGACTGTAGGGTGGCGAACGGACATGCGTGATGGCGTTTCTCCTGCAAAACTCTGGAAGCTGCTGGGGCTGAAGCGCGGTCCATTGTTCGACACTGAAGTCTCTGGCAGGCCGTGCTGGCTGAAGAACCGAGACAGGGCTCGTATGCTGTTTGTTTTCGTTGGCTGGACGACGGGCACAAATTCAGTCCACTTGGAGAAGGCGTTGACCAAGATGAGGTATGTTACCCCATCAGGCCAGCGTAATCACTTGACTGGACTGTAGGGTGGCGAACGGACATGCGTGATGGCGTTTCTCCTGCAAAACTCTGGAAGCTGCTGGGGCTGAAGCGCGGTCCATTGTTCGACACTGAAGTCTCTGGCAGGCCGTGCTGGCTGAAGAACCGAGACAGGGCTCGTATGCTGTTTGTTTTCGTTGGCTGGACGACGGGCACAAATTCAGTCCACTTGGAGAAGGCGTTGACCAAGATGAGGTATGTTACCCCATCAACAAGGCCAGCGTAGTCGACATGCGCCCGGGAACAGAGGTGTTCGGGTCGAAGGTAGGCGGAAGATGTGGAAGGTCCTTGGCGGCGTTCTTCAAACGTGAGGCAGTCGCCAAAGAAAGACAGAGAATGCCGACGATGGTAATGGAGTTTGAGACTGTCGCCCATCTGTCTTGTCGGCCAACGTGTCCTGAGAAAATGGATCGCCTGTTGTAGCGTCGAATCAACCAGTTTCACGCTGAATATCCGAACAGTCACTGATAAAGCACGGACTGCTTGGAGAAGCTGCTGGCTGGCGTGGTCATCGATGGATAGTACCGTGATGAGGGAGTCTTCCTCCTTGGGTGCCGGCATCTGTTAAATAGCTCGTACTTTTTGGGGATCGGGGTGTCGACCGTGGGCATCGAAGATGCAACTGAGATACTTAACGGCCGTCATGAGAACTGATATTTTTCAGATCGGGGTGTCGACCGTGGGCATCGAAGATGCTACTGAGATACTTAACGGCCGTCATGAAGAACTGATATTTTTCAGGACAAGGGCGAAGGCCGTTGTCCTGGATGCTTTGAAGCACCATATCGATTTGCACGCGCTGTTCATCGGGGTGAGCCAACGACAATCAGCACATCGTCCAGGTATGCGGTCACACCTGGATAGTGTCCATCAACTGCTGGAAGATCTCAGGGGGCGTCTTAACCCCAAATAGTAGACGTTTGCATTCGTACAAGCCCCTGTGTGTATTGAATGTCAGCAGGGACCGGAAGTTCGCCGCAACTTCGATCTGCAACTATGAATCGGCCAGGTCAAGTTTGCCGCCGTTCATAATAGTGCATAAGTCATCAGGTATCGGCAGTGGGTAGTGGTGCTGTTTGAGAGCAGCATTGAGGCCTGTTGAGAAGTGGGCATTGACCCATTTGGCTTCTTTACTACGATTGGTGCCGCCCATGCGGAGTAAGTTACTGGGGATAGGACGCCCTGCTGCTGGAGACGCTGGAGTTCCACATCGACCTGTGGCAAGAGGGCCTACGGGACTGGTATCTTGGGACGAACAACTGGGGTAATATCCGGTCGAAGTCAGAGGGTTGCTTGTGTGACGGAACAGCAATTAAGGTCAGGCTCGAAAACTTAAGCGAAACGCCGAATGATTTCACCGGACTGATCTGGAGCAGCAATGCGAGAAATGACCTCATTGTATATGGAACTGATTGGGAAATCGGCCAAATTAAGATGGTCGAACTAGTCAATGCCAAGAAGATTCGATTCGGCAGCGGTCACGTAACACGACCCAGTGAATATCGTTCCCTTGAGTGAGATGCAGCATTTCAATTCTCCGGAAAGCCGCAACTCACCACCACAGGCACTGATGGCAGTTCTGAAGGACCGTCGAACAGAAGGTCGCCCAAGCGTGTTCCAAAGCTTCTCCGATATAATGTTGATGTCCGAAGCAGTGTCCAGCTGCAGTCGGGCCGAACGCCCAGGACAGTGAGGAATTTCCAGTGAGATGAGGCAATGAATTGAAACGTTGCCAGCAGACTCAAGGCGGAGCCCGCAGGCTTGGAATTCTGCGAGCGTGGTTGCTGTTTGGAGGCGCCATCAGATGTACTGGATGACCGAGCCCGGCAGTATCCGTCTTTGTGACCTACGGTCTTGCATTGTCGGCACCGGTGTTGTTTGTAGGGGCACAGTCTGACGAAGTGCCAAACCCCTCAGTGCCAGCACGGGGATGAAGGTTTCTTCTTGTGGACATTTTACTGATTGGCTTGGGTAGTTCCAGAACGCGACGTACCAGAGATTTGAGAACCGGAGGGTTTAGAGGCCTGGTGAACTCCATAAACTTCGGAATCACCTTCGCCTCCATATTAGACCAGAGTGGTGTCATGCTGTAGCTTGGTCAACCGTTGGTACTCGTCAGCAATGGCGCTGAGCATCAGCGAAGGGTCTTGATAAAGTTGGTTGAGCAGACGCGTCCGTATGTCTGCGAGCTCGGGAGACTGCAAGCTGCATATGAAAATGCGGGATTTGAATTTGTCAGTTGTGAGCGACTTCAATTTGAAACGTTCGCATTCACGGTTAACAATGCCAACGTGCGTCAAAATGTCGTCTGACTCGTTCATAATCAACTTTAAACAGCGGTACCGCGTATGGAACAGAGAAGATCGTTCACCAAAATTGTGTCAGAGTCTGCACTGTTTCATCGGAAGACCTTTCGCGTGGGTTCTGTGGCAGAATCGGGTTTCAGAACCTGTCCACTTCTGCCGGGCAAAAGCCGGACTTTCCAATCACCGTCTTGCGCAGCAAAATCGACCCGGAATAGGTCCTTATAGCGGCGGAACCATGTCTCGAACGTGATGTTAGCGTCTGGGTCATAGTTAAACTTCGCTATGCTATGCGCATTCGCGTCAACCTGTTGATTGGGCGCCGGATTGGACGTAGCACTGCTAGCGGGAACCCTCAACTGTCTAAGAATTTCGATAAACTTAAGCTGTTTCTCGAGAAGTGCCCCTAATTTCGCGGGATCCATTCGGTGGATTTTCTTTGTTTCGGCTGCTTTATCCAACGCGACTCTGAAAGATACCTTGTTAACAAACTCGTGCGCACACGAGAACAAATCACGTCTTTGTACTTAGGTTTTGATCGACAGCCTTGTAGTACTGTGCAGTTCTTCGGCTCTATGCCTGGTCCTGCACGTATCGCCTAGCCGTGCAGGTCCTTAGGAGACAGAGACCCTCGCTTAGTTGATTTAGCAGAAGTCGTACTCGGTTGTGTTGTTTGCCCAAATATCCACATTCGTTTGAACAGTCTTCGTCGAGAACACTGCGATTGGTTGGATTAACGTATAATTGCTATCGAGCATGTATGTTTATCCCTAATCCTTATCCTTTGGGAGTTGGTCTTGATAGTGGTATGTAGCTGGCCTGTCTATCAAGTACCGGCGTGGCGACGCTGCACGTGGTGACAGTGCACGCTCGCCCGGGAATCTTCTTGGTTCTTGTCTAGAGTTCAGCAGACTGATAGTAAGTCAGCAATCCTTTTTCTAATGTTTGGTGCCGAAGAGGTGTCACGGTCTAATAATTTGACTGAAATATCTTTCTGTGTATACCCAAGTGATATAAGTCACTCCTGTATAGTTTGGACGTATCTATCCTCATTGTGAAGCTTGAATCACTGTATGCACCTGCTTCCGTATTTGTGTTCGAAGACTGCGCTGATTTCTCTGGAGTATCCAGGTTGCTGCAAGTGGACTTGCTTATTTAGCTGTGTTTCTCCGATTTCGACGTTCGAGGACTCAGCTTACTCACTGTATGCACGAACTGAGCTGCTACTTCTCTGTCTCACATAATAGCGAGTTGAAATGGGGTTTCACGCACGTATCCCAAAACGAGTTATTCACTCCACTGGCTAAATAGATGCAACCAACTTTTTCACATCCCTACCCACTCCCTGTCTGCAATTCGTTTGTCAGTTCCAGTGGCCGTTTCCGTAAACTACCATTTCTCACTCTTTCTTGCAGCGCGTTTCCGGACTTCTGCCGCAAAGCAATTCACTATGGGATCAGCAAAAGCAGTTGTGGTCAAAATCGACTCCTCAGCATTTGCATGGCTTGGAAACATTAGATTCTGTAACCACTCCTCAGTTGGGACAAAATGTCAGCTGTAGTGTACCCGAACTAGAAAAGTCAGCTAATTTGGTTGAACAAACAGCGTTATTTGAGTCTGCCGATTCAAATGACCTATTTAACCCAGTGAGTGTCTTCAGAAACCCTTCTTTGCTTTTTATACCCCACACTACACATATTACTAGACAAAACTGTCTCAAATTGGCTAACGACCATTCCGCATTTCGGTAATACAGGGCGGTTGTGTTGCTTCATGCTCAAAACGCCCTACTGTCACCCAAAGCCAGTGTTACTTGACCGGATTGGTTTAGTCCGATCTTTTGTCTTGCCGTTCCCCTTATTATTTTTGTTGGAAAACGCAATTACCGCATTACTCGGTCTTCATCCGAAACCTCTTGTTTTATGACTGCTGTTTCGTTGAGCATGAATGTGAGTTCTGATTAACCGTTGGACGGTCTCATGAACCGTTTTTTCGTTCTCGTTTCAACTGATCTCGTTGATCTCCCTTGAACTTTGGGGAGTTGGGTTTCTTGTTAGGTGCAACAGGTATTAACTGACACTGTGAGAATTCATCTATCCTTGGCACACTTTTCCTTTGTTTATTTTGTTTCTTTGAGTGATCTGTTGTTTACTGCGCTCTCCCTCCCAATTCCGAATGATTCGGCTGCATTCTCATGGTACTTTTCATCTCTTTGCTTCGCTTGAGTGAATTCACTGCAAAACTAACTGCTTTTCCCAACCTTGGTTCGTAAGAAGGTGTAGTAGCTAGCTTTCCCAACTCGACCCATGATAGTCACGACTAATGAACGCCGAATCAGCAGAATATTTATGACCTATCACTCTTGTCCTGCAAATAGATCGGAAGTCCGGAGTATGCACTGCACTGGTCATAGCCAATGCGGTTAGCTTATTGTTTCCGTTAAACTGCTCCTGTCCCCTGTGTGGTGTTCGAATGAGCCGTTCCTTCTACCGGTTACAGTTCCCCTAGGCTCACTCTGTCCAGAAATGGAAGCGTCTTGTCTGCCTAAGTTGTGTCCGTACTTCAGCGAACATTTTCCTACCTGCGCAAATCGTTCCACTACTCCCCCAACATGGATGCTGTAGTTCAACCGTACCTCTGATCTGGTTCGGTATTTGAAATTTCCCTTTAAGTTTCGCTCTAAAGATGGGAGTGTGGCTATATTTGGAAACAAGAAGTCACGTTTCATTCTCTTTGTTTCATAGTGAATACTCCGTTATTCAGTACTCATCCTTGTGTAGAGCATCATCTAGGAAGTTCCGTGAACTTAGTATATAAGTCTGATGTGCTAGCAGGTAGTACCAGGGACACTATTCTAAGGTAACCGAAGTTCGCTGCGTGTGAAAGATTGTGTTCACAGTTCACCTCTGGTCCTCATGATCGGCGTTCGTGAAGGAACATTCCCGTGAATTTTAGATGTCCTAAACCACCTGTCTCGTTTTTATCTTTCATCGTTTATCTGCTTTTGTTGCTACAATTTTCCGGTCCGTTGCGGTGGTGTCGTGAATTTTTAAAACGTTATCTTTCCAGGACTCAGGACAAATAATTAAAACCTGACTTCCGAATCGGTGGATGAAGGGGCAGAACTGGAAAGTAATTAGGTATCACCAGAGCATCAGAGAGCAAGGAGGTGACCTCCAGGAATCGAAACGAGTAGTCAAGAGTTTTATTCCATCACTCTCTCATCCCTGTATTTGCGTATGATGAATAAATGAAACGATTTATTTAGGATGACTGAAGTCACTGCCACCAGGAATTGCTGTCTGTGAAGAATAGGATAAATAGGATGGACGAAGTTAAAACTTGGTTGATGGAACCAGATTCACCGTTCACTATGGGAGTTTTTGGTTGAGGATTAGAAAGCACCAGGAAACAGTATTCGTTTTTGGAATGGAGAACCGTGCCTGAAAGGTGAATGCGAAGGTGACAAGTCGATTTAGGAGTTGGCGAACCACATCGAGATAGCCTTATGCCCACGCTGACCGGTGTCGACACTAGCAAGTATTCCAAGATTGTTTCATTTGATCCACGTAACTGACCACCGGAAACCGCCTGGGAGTGAAGCTATCAAGTATTTAGTGGTCCGACCATCTTCAATATAGAACCCCCCGAATACTTCAAACGACAGTTCTCGTGGCCACCCACTCATCTGGATCCTACAGCTGAATTAGAACCCTGGACGGTGAATCTGGATCCCTTACGGTCTCGGAGGCTTATGGGTTCTTATGTTATCTCAAGCGCCACCGAGCTCCTTGTCCGGCTGACCTCCAACCCGCCTAGTTTAAATTTGGGAGTGGAATCCTCGGTCAGCACTTGTTTAGTCTGCCTGCATTTGCTCTAAGTGGACTAACCCGTAAAATTCGGGAGAGTCGGTGCTTACTTGCAAAAAGAGGCTGGTAGTGAGCTTGCTAGTCACACGTGGACCAGCTTGTCCCTGGTCATGACGAGACATTCGATATCGCTTCTTCTTTCCCTCATGGCGGCTCGTGAAAGACAGACTCAACAGAACGATTGCGATTCCGGTCTGCCGTTGCGCTGACTCAACTTTACACTCTGTCAGGGCTTTTGAACAGCAGCATACTTACAAACGACTCGCGATTCCAGTATTCCTGGATGTCCAAGGCGCATTCGACTGGGTTGATCTGTCCGTTCCTCTGGACACTGTTGACCAGCAAGAAATGCTCCGGAAGTTTGTGAACCTAATAAATTCTTTGTCTTCTCAGCCTTCCGATCGTGTGACAGGATACTCAGAACCCTCCAAAAGCCCCCGTATACATAGTGATGTCTGTCACAGGTGCCCACTCTCACCATTTCCATTTAATTTATCGTTAGATGAAATAATGAGACGAACGCTGGAAGACCTTCGAAACCCTGGTATTCAAAAAGTTGCTGACGAAAACCTTGTCGATCTGCAATATGCAGACGACATTGTTCCCATCTTCGAAGAGGAGAAGGCGCAAATGTCCTCGGTCGAACCGATTACAATCATCCCATCCTACAACATGCATCTGTCACCCACAATTGGTAAGGTCGTGCTTCTAGACATACAGTCACTGAACAGAACAATTACAATCCAGGTAAAGGAACCCGAAGTTGTGGAGCGTTTTACGTATCTCGGATACTATATTTATTCTGATTGCAGTGACATTTGGGTTCAATGCACAAATCTGCAAGGTTGGTGTCCCTGAATCTCAAGGGACGTGTGTATCATGGTTGTGACACCGCCTGTTCGAGCAGCGAGACTAAAACATCTTCAGGTCTTTGAGCACGTTTGCTTTGGAACCTTATTTCCAGCAGGTTGGTGTCCTTGAATTCGTGACGATACGGTTTCAAAGCGAGTGTTCCGTTCTGAAACGTGGACTTCGATCGAAGAATGTGCGTTGATTGGGCCATGTATTGTGCTTGCCGAACCCTCATTCGCCGATAGGAGTGCTGTTTTTCGTGTCCAATTCGGAGTGGCAGAAGGACAGAGTTGACGAGCCTTTGACCTAGCAGAGTTATCAAAGAGATTACGCCTTCCAGGAGGAAGGCCGTGTAATGCGCACTACAGCTGGTTGGAGACGCTGCACAACATGGTTGTTAATGGATGTCCATGTCGTCCTCGTTGGTTTGATTGTGTCTGGAGGTGTAGACACCTCTGAATGATTGCATTAGACTACCACTAGCACATCCACTTTCACTCCCTTCCATGTTCAGGCTTTCAAATGAATGATCAGTGTTGAACATTGATGTTATGCTGTCCGTGATGATCAGTTTTCCAAATTTGTGATTCAATCACAAGACCGCTTGGTTTTTTAGCTTACAGTTATTACCTTTTCTCCGTCCCCCACAATGTTTCTTGTGTAGCGGCACTCCGGATTGGATTGGACCATTCACGAAGTCTGCGGTAGACAAGAGTACGCATCATTGGAGAGGCTTCGGCGGCATTGTGCTTTGCTAAAATTACACGGTTTTACCGAATCAACCATTTGAATACTCTTTTGTTTTGTTGCTACAGGTCTCTTATAGTAAACAGGATTGCCAGCTTTAAATGTTCAATTCAAAACTCAGCATGTTTAACCGCTAGGCTTTCCAAATTGTCGCTAGCTCTACTATATGAGCTGAATAGATCAGTCGTCGTCCAATGGCTGGGCTACTTCGCTGTCTCAACAAGATCACTTGACTCTCAACTGGTCCGCGTCTACTTATCAAGCAAACCAGTTGTGAAAAATTGTGGAATGGTCTCCGACTAATAGTAATGATAATTTTGTGAATGAGATTACGGATACACAAGTGCCACAGATTGGTTAGCTCTACTTGGGGGCATTTGCATGAGGTCAACTGCACCGAACCTCCATACCATGCGCTTATCCGTAGACGTTCATGCAGTATTGAATCGCTTTCGGCAATTCAATATCCACTGAGGAAAGCAAAGTGGAGTGTTATGGCGCTGACAATTTATTGGGCGGGCGAAGTGTTAGTCCTGGTTTACTTTGGGTTTGTCGGCAATACATACGCGTTGCAATATGTTACTGAGGTACACAATTATTGTTACTTTCCTGAGAAAAATCTAACGGCCTAACAGCACATGGGGATTTAATTCTTGCTTGTATTTTCACCTTTCCACCTTTTTTTCTCGTTCCTTGAAGTCCGGCGCACGACCATCCACATATTCCTCGCTAGAAGAGGAGCGAGGACTACATCGTCCTGATGGGGCCGACGATCCTGATGAGCACATGTGGTTGTACGAAGATCCACAGGGTCGTACACAGGGTAGTTTCAGTGATGCCCAAATGAATGATTGGCTGCTAGCTGGCATTTACTTTACTCCCAACTTGCGCATACGACGGAAATGTGATAACACATTTTCTACACTGGGTGAGTCCAATTTGGTGATTCCTCACCACCCTACTCCTTTTTTTCAATTTTTATTTGTTTTCTGTCACGTGTGGGTGAGATGGCTTAGTGGTTAGAGCGCGGATTTACTAATCCGAAGTTCCATGGTTCGAACCCGATCTCTGCCTCTCGACTTCCCTGTCTAGGCTTGGGCAGTATCTCAGCCCTCGTGCCTTCTTCGGGTGGCATGGCAACTAGGCACCGAAGGGGTGTGACAGCTGAACTAATACTTATTATTTCTGTAACGTCAATCGCCACTTTTTTTAAATCCAGTCATGACGCCTGGACCAATCCGTTGGTCTGAGGACAGGTAGGCGTCTATATGTTTGTTCCACTTTACTTGGCTAATATTCACTCTCTTTTGTCTCAGGCGTGCCTATCAAGAGGATGCAGCACTTTTAACTACCCTAATCCCTATCTCTCTGCCTCTCCTTGTAGATCGCAGTACGTAGTTTTCCTTGGTTTTGCTACTTTCCACCGACAGTTACCGATTCTTATTGGATTATAATTGCGCAAGCTGTGGGAGAGGATTTTTTTTCACTGAGGCCACCGCGCATCTTAGTTAGCTGGAGTTATGATTTGCCTGGTGGGATTCTGTGGTACCAGTTTCAGTGGCGGAGTGCTTGTCTGGCTCACGGGTTCCTTTTCGTCACAGTTTCAGATGTTTTTTCCTCACTTTTTCTATACATTCCATTCCATCGCATCGTTTCCTTTACCTGTCTCTCAGTTTTTCAACTTTTTGACCGACTTCTGCTTCACCAACGTTGGTGATCTGAAATTCTGAGGTTTCACATCACAAGAAAGTCTATAAATTCGTTAATGTAGGTTATATCAGGTTATTTCCGCGAAAAAAAATCAGTTACTGATGAGCATTCTCGGCTTTCCAAAATCAGTCGGTCACTAAGGACACTATGTGATGGCTTTCCACATGATAATTGTGTTCGTTGAAGGGTTCGGGACGGAACGGAAACGATGGTGACGGATAATTTGACATCGGTGTGTGCAAACCCTGACCCCCACCATTTCGCAAGCTTAGCAGCTACCGCCAACCACCCAAAATAACAGTGTAGTGGCATAAATTCATCCGGCTTTGTCCGGCATCATATATGGTGTCAGTGGTGTGATGCCAACCCATTGCGTGAGCCACAAGCTTCTGACAGATCCGTGGTCCAAATCCACACGAAACCCTTGCTGCCGTTGGTACTGCCTCCCATTTCCAATTAGCCCTGATTGCGATTTCGCATCCAAACCATGGTACTCCTGAGCATAAGTAGATTTTCAATGTTTTCGTAACTAGTTTCATTCTACTTTGTTTTCTATGAGAAGATTTTCGCTCTTGATAACCTGATTTGTGAAAGTGTAATTGGTACGGTCTCACTTCCAAACAGCCATGTCATGGTGTCCAAACCGTGTCACGATTGTGGGCTCACGCACTGGTACGTGAACCAGCTGAAGTCTTGCCGAAGCACGGTGTTTGGTGACTCGAGGCGTGTCTTCAGGCCAAGGCGTGACCTAAAATATGGTGCAGTTGGAC